GAGGTGGCCCAATTAAGGAGGCCAAGCGTGGCTTCCAGTGCTTTGCGGGGCACTTTGCTTTGCTGTTGCAGAGCGGCCAGCTGTTCGCGCAGCTTCTGTAGCTTGGCTTGGCGAAGCTCAACTGTTTCTGAGAGCGTACAGAAATCCCAGCCGCACCAAGAGACAGTGGGCGAAAACTGTGCCTTTCTCCAGCTGATTGGCGCATGCAGGGCGGCCAGCAGTGCGACCACCAGCGCTGCTGCTTCTGACGACTCACCTTTGCGGAGCAATGCGAGGAGGTCATCCACGTAGAGCCAAGCGCGGTGCGGGTGGTTGCAAAGCAGTGCATGTATGCATCGGAGGATGAGGCCCCCCGTGCGTTGCCACCAATATGCAGAAAACCGAGCGCCGAAATGGCAGACGGTGTAGAAGGAGAGTTTGCCCCCCACTCGGAAAAGGAGCGTGCCTTGGTCGGAGGGTCTGACTTTGCAGCATTTGTGCGCTGCCTTGAAGTCTAGCGACAGTGCGATGAGCGATGCGTAGCAGTCCTGTGCCAGAAAACTGCGTTGCACGTCCGAGGCGGTGGGCAGTGCAACGTGCTCGGGGAGGTGCACTGCTGGGTTAAGGCCGCATATAGTGCTGTCTAAAACCAGCCTAGGGTCGCGCCCTTCGGCCATGACTATATTTAACTTACCTATTGCGGTGCCTTGCGGCCAGTGCTGTGCTGCGCTGGCTTCGTCGCCAGGGAATGGCTGAATAAAAAACCCTTTTCGACCTCCTCTTGCACGAGTTGTTCGAGGACTTCCTGGTTGGATTCTGCAGCCAACCAGTTTCCACGGCAATGCTCGAGCGAGGCTGGGCTGAACTCTTGGGAGAAGTCCAGTTCAGGCTGTGCGGGGGTCCACTGACCACTGGAGGGCAGTGGCTCAAAGGCGCCAGTGGGCACTCCTTCTGCGAGCAGTGCGGGCAGGCCTGCGTCCTTGTCTTGCAGTGCGGATGCTAGGCATTGCAGAACGTTGAGTCTGAAGGGCTGGCGCGGTGAGATCTGATGGAATGTGCCGGGGTCGGCGCGCGGTGCCAAGGTTTGCCTTATGATTTCTTTCTGCAAGAACTAAACCTTGTTCCTCGGACAATGGGGGTGTACTGTCGGCGGCTTCGAGCTGTGCTTTAATGTGGGACAGCAGTCCTTGCGACTTGAGGTAGGTAAGGAAAGTGGGTGCTAGGGCTTTTAGGGGCTTAGGCGTAGTGGAGACGTTGCTTGCGGTATGGTCTGCGGTGCTGAAGAGGCCCGCGCCGTCGCAGATGGCTGGGCGTCGTGGTAGAAAGTGTGCCGGCATATGTTTGTTGATGCGGTTGATGTTGACTGGCTGTGCAAGCAACGAGCTGCAATTGTTTGCTATAATGTGCATGAGGCTGTGCCAAGGGGCTTCGGCAGATGTTAAGGCCCCGACTGTGTTGTCGCTCGAGCAGAGCAGCCGAGGTTTGGAGTTGGGCGGTGCTAGCCAGATGCAGTGCGCTGCGAGTTCCTGGCATAGATGAACATAGTCGGCTTCTATGTCTGTCTGGCAGGGCTGTGGCAGCCAGAAGTAGACCTGAGCTCCTTGCAGGTGAGCGGCGCGTATGACACTGCGGATCGCCGAGTGTTCGGACGCTGAATAGTTGTCGGTGCTGTGCAGGAAAGCCAGAGAGCCAAGCGTGCCGGACCATGCAGCCGCACGGAGTGATTGGAAGCTGCTCTCATTCCAGGGCGAGGCTAGTCCAACAACGAGTGCCAGTCTGTCCACGTTGGGGGCCTCGGACTGCTCCCATGATGTGAAAAGCAGGAACCTAGGATAGGCCGGTGGCTCCTGTGACATGTCTGAGTAGTCGGAGTAGCAGTCGCTCTCCGCGGAAGGCAGGTCTGCCGGGGGCGCAGGCGAAGCCGTGGCGGCGGAAGGCTGCTGAAGTGAGGCACCAGGGTCTTGCATTGACGGTGGTTTGGGAGGTGACTGAGAGGGTGCAGTGCGGGGCTGAGGCTTAGGCTGTGCTGGCGGCGGTGTGGCGGGTGCGGCCGGGGAGGTGTGTTGGAGCAACCGAGCTCCCCCGGCGGAGGACGGCTGCGCAGTTCAGGAGGAAGGCGGTTCCTGTGGATTGCGGTGCTTGCATGCGGGATGATTCTTGCCGCAGGGTTCCCCGTTCGGCATACGCAGTGCGCACGCATGCAGGTATTTGCATTGCTTGTTTGTGCAAATGCCCTTGTTGAAACGGATGCAAAAGGTTTTATTGCCGTGCGACTTGACTAGGTCGAGCGGTGCGGTGTCTGAAGCACTAGGCGTACCCGGGGTTTTGCGTTTGAGAGGCGGTGCGTTGCCTTTGCCTGTCTTGCCTTGGCCGGTTTTGCCTTTGCCCCTCAGCGGTGCGTTGGGGTCACGGGGCGGTCGAATGGGGGGGGCGGCGGCCGTGCGCGGAGCTGCAAGTGGTTGCCGACGTCTGAGCGGACCGTCGTCATCTCATGCAAGGCGTCGTCAAGGTTCCAGCCGGCGCTGTGCAGGCTGGAGATTTCTTTCCAGAGTTTGCGGTCCGCCGACACGAGCTCACTGGTGGACACGGTGCGGAGCGAAGGGTCCGCGGGCGCCTGCGTTGCTAGGTCTAGGATTTTCTTATCATAGGCCTTAAGGCGCTGCAGGTGTGCGCCCTTGCACAGTGCAATGGCATTGCGGAAGACAGTTTGGATGCGTCCCAACCATGCGGGGCTGAGGCGAAGNNAGGTGATCAACCGGCATTTCGGGAGTGTCATCAAAAAGTGCGGTGCTGAGGAAGGCGACCTCAGTGCGGAGCGTTTTAGTTGTGCGGCTTTCAATGATCTCTTGGTATTGTTTCTCGGAGAGACGCAGTTGCCACGGGATCCAGCTGATAGCGTTGCCTGGCACGAACCAGCGATGCACAATGCTGAGCAGTCTGACGCTGGGCATGGCGTCACCATCCAGGTGTTCCCCCGGGTAGTTCTGCCTTGACCAGCTGTGCGATGCTGGCGGAGTCGAGGCGAGGCGGCGCATGTTCTGCCCATGCATTGGGCTGAAGCTGTGCGGTGCTGGGCGTCGGGGTGCTGGATGCTGACGGCGCGGTGTCAGCAGCTTCGGTGAGGTGCTTGGCTTTGTGCAAGGCTCTGCGGAGCCGCGCCATGGCGGGGCTGTGTGCTGGATCGGAGACACCCAAGGTGTCCCATAGCTCCACATGCTCTTCAGAGCAAAAAACATCGAGTTCCTGTGCAGTGGCATATGCGAATGCGAAGTCTGGCACAGTTTCAATGCCTGCCCTCTGTAGCGCAGAGATTAGCTCTTCAGGCACTTGCAGAGAGGTGAGAAGCTGCTTGAGCGCAAGCGGCGACTCCAACGTTGGCGTGGCAGATGCGTCTGCCATGGAGCTGGTGAGGGGTCGCGGTGAAGCTTGAGCAGAGGCAAACGGCTGCGGTCAGGTAGGTGCAAGCAAGAACAAGCAGAAAGGGTGCAAAGCTCGGCGGGCGCACGGCTGCACGGAGACCTGAGCGAGTGGGTTATGTGCAACTTATAGGGTGCGCTGAGCAATGGCGTGTGCAAAGTGACTTTTTTTTTATGCTCAGCGACGGTGTCCTGCGCGCCTGATGACACAAGCCATATGCCTGCAAAGGGGGGGAGGTGGCGCTTCGGATGTGAATGAGGCCAAGCCTAGATCAAGGCCGCACGCGGTGCGGAGCATACCCGAGTCGTCGGGTGGTTTCAGGCAGTGCCAGCATCCCCAAGGGCCAGTGCATGCGTACAGGGGCTTCTCATCCGGGGATGCGTCAGGCTCGGGCAGTGAAGAGGAGAGCGAGGAAGTGGAGGCATGGGAAGAGGTGCTGGATTGGCGGCGA